TCCTTTCTCTTGTTTTCTTGCTGGTCTTCCAAAAAAATTTTTCAAAAAAAGTGGGATTTGGCTTACCCCTCTAAAAGATCGGCATTATTTACATCTACCAAATTCGGATGGACTCAGTGAAATATAATCATGTGTTTGTTGTGTTGACTAATATAGTGCTATGGTACAGAAAAGAGATCGATACTCCCGTTTAGGAGATTCCCAAGTTGAGTTAGTGTACAGAATGAGTTAAATCGATAAAGTCGAAGACTTTTAATTGAGATATACTTTTAGTTGCAATTAGTATATAATTTTTATCCTTATTCCTGGCATGGGCTATAATAGTGTGTCATGGCTCTTTTTTCTTTTTTCACTTTTTTCATCTTTGTTCATTTATGTTAGATTATTTTAGAATTTGTTTCGATAGTTTTTTTTTATCGCTATAAGGTGTTTTTTTTCTAAAATGTTTAGGTTTTTTATAAACATGGCTTTATTTTTTCACTTTTATATATGAATAAGGGTTTAATTATTTTGTCAGGGAGAAGTCTGAAAGAAGAAAAGGTAGTCATGATGGGCGGCAAGGTCCACTGTTGAGAGCTGGGTTATATCTAATTGCAGGAAAGATCCAGAAGAAGAGAAACCTTGCTATAGCAGGTCGAACATAGGTACCAAGTTGGTAACTAGGTTAGTTGTAACTTGTAATTTAGGTAGTGCTAGGTGGAATATTAGGTAAGGCACTTGACATTTAGAGATAGTTCTCATATGCTATCTGCTGACTTGTTTAGAGTTTATCACTTACCTGTTATAAATCCTATCCATAAGTCCTAGTTGCAAAATTTTATATATTCTAGATGAGTTGTACAAAGTCTAATAAAGTTATAGCATGACTGCCTAATTTTTTTAAAAAAAAAAAAAATTTAATACAAGCAAGTTGGGTATATAAAATATATCACAACATTTATTAGAGAATAGCAAATCAATATATATATGAAAATAGCTAAAGATAGTACATAAACTAGATTTAAGAGAAAAGAAAGCAAAGTGGTTTAATAAGCTAGAAAAGGAAATGATCAAGAATATAGTAACAAAAGAGGTTAAATTAATATATAAAATTAGAGTATATGACCAAAACATACTTAAATTAGTAGTTGAACTAGTAAAACTAGATAAAAAAACAAAAGAATAGATTATGTAAAAAGACAAATTATACAAATATAAAAATCAAAAAAAAAAAAAAAAAAGCAAAAGTATATAGAGATAAAAAATTATTTTGAAGTAAAAACTTTATAAATATATATAAGTTTGAAAGTTTTAGAATATAATCAAAACCAAATATCAATATCTTTTTTTTTTCTTTGATAACTGCATACTAAAGTTTTATTAACCATTATAATACTCAATACAAGACCAAGCTATTTAATAGGTATATTTGACTAAAAGCCAGCTGTTGCTTAAAGATGCCTAACCTTGGTTATCATACTGCTATTAGCCACTATACCCCACATATGATGGAATATATTTTAAAATATAATCTAGCCTGAGCACAGCTCTCATTCTATCAGAACCTCCTTTTCTCTTCAAATTTTTCTTCTTTCTCAAGAAGCATGAGATAAAAGGGAAAAGTTTAAACAAAAAAGTAATAAACATGACCAGAAAAAGAAAAACAAAAATGAAGAAAAAAAAAAAACACAGATTTTGAAAAATAAAAAACATAAAAAGAAATCTAAGACCCTAAAGGCACTATTATAACTCATGTGTGGCTAGTAAAAATTATATAACAAATGCAACATTTGTATATCCCTTCTGTAAAGCTTCACTTTAACATTAAATTTACTTTCCGACCTTCCTACCAACTCTGGATAGCTGCTTTGTTGCCTGTTCTAATTCATATTTTGAACCAGATGCTGCCACTATCCAAGGACTCGTATCTCAAGCTACCTGCTGTTATAATTAGATTTCCCAGTCTGAGTTCTGTAGAGTAGCACCATATCCGTCTGGCTAGCATGATCCCGACCTTAACCCAATAAAGAATATTTGGAAGGTTGTAAAAGATGATAATCAAAATCAGAAGAACTTTCCAAGAAATACAGATAAACTTAAAATAGCCATTAAAGAGGCATAGTCATGTAGAGTCAGTACAGTGAAGAATAGAAGCAATAGCCAGTGTGGGGGGCCATTCATGCAAATATTAAATAAATATAAAAAAATTTTTGATGTATATAGGGCAGAAATTTAATAAATAAAAATTTATTATTTTAATAAAAATTCGGGCGTTACTTTGCCGCCTACTGTACATGTGATTATAATCACCTGACTTGTACTTTTGGATTTATTGGCTAATAACTCAAAATTCGCATAATTTACAATTTGCCGCACACATAATTTTGCAATTACCGGCGAATAATCCTGAACATTCTAATCCGGGAAAGACCACTAGACGTGACCGATCAGTAATTACGTTATCAATGATTCTTTGTTTCCGGAAACTTTGTCGGAGGTGTCACCTATTCTATATTTAATCCCAATTTGGATTAATTTATACGTAATATTCTAGGAAAAAATGCGTTACTCCCCTAAAAACCTTAGCTCAGACCCTAAGTATTAACTCTAAGAAATTTAAATAAAGTATATATACAAAACTTTAAAAAATCTAAAAATTATATAAACACCGTAGATACGTTTATAATAAATGTACTAAATTTATTGTTATATATGTATATATATGCTGTGCCCCAGATGGCAATTTGTCAATTGACCAAAATTATCGGCTTAAACAAATTAATTTAGGCTGGGCGTTTAGCTAAATTTTAGTAAATTGACATCTGGGCCATCCCAATTGACAATTGGGATAAATTTAGATTTGGGCACAACATATATCTATATTGTAAAAATTAATTTTAATAATCGATTTTGATTGGCTAAAAATATACTCGCCGTCTAGGTATCGCTAAATCTTAAATCTCAAATAGATAAAACTATTTGGAACTCATGTTCTTAATAGTTCCAAATTCCGAATAGAAATTAATATAGAAATTTAAATAGAAATTACACAAACAAATAAGATGTAAAAACTGATTGTTTGTTCATTAGCCGCAGCTATTTGTACATGTGTAACTTTAAATGTTAAGGTTTGAGAATTTTGGAGCTTCTAAATTTGGGGTTGAGGTTTGGAATTTGGGATTGGAAGTTAGCCATTTGAATTTGGACGAAAGAATAGTTAAAAGTATTGGATTGTTTAATCAATTCAAATCGAATAACCTTTTTAAGTAACTTGGACTGTAAAATAATTACTATAAATTTAGTTATTTGTTATCTTTGATCTATATTTTAATATACAGTATATATATATGAAATAGAACTTTATAAGCGGCATACATAAAAACTACAGTATTCTGAATTTGAGTGTTATAAACCAGATCATCATTGTACCTTTGAAAGTGCTGTATCTATAGAAACTGTAATTCAAAATATTTAAAGAAGAAAAAATTACTGTGTAACACGAAGTCATAAAATTAATTAGATTTTATAAGTTGTATGTAAAAATCTAGCGAAAATAATATATGACAATTTCTTTTTCGTTTATTATATCTAATATACGTTTAATGTTTTATTAACGCCTCAAGTTAAATGAAAGAACTTGATTTGTAATTCAAATTTTGGGATCAAACTTGGTCTCGGCGGAATATCTTAGTTTCCTGATATATATTAGGAGTTTACTAATTTCTCCCACACTTCTGATTGGTTCTACTAATTATTCGCATATCGGTGTATCAAAACAATTTTTATGGGACTCCGATAGTGAAATGTGGTGAGAAATTAGTAAACCCTATATATTAGTGATTCAATTTAGTTATATTATTTGTTATAATTGACACAAAATAAGTTGACAAATCTAATTGCAGACTAACTCGGAACAGCAACATAGTGTAATTAACAAGTGGTATCTTATGGTATAAAACGATGATTTTAGACCTTCGACTTTTAGAAACTCTGAATTGTAGTTAGAGATTTACAGTAAGATGTTTACTATTTCTCAAGGAAAAAAGTAAATGAAATGTAAAATAAAATAAATAAAATACATAATTTGATAAGTATTATTCAAGTATATTTATTTACGATTCTTTTTTATTTTTTTGATTATTTATTGAATAAAATTTTTTTAAAATAATAATAATAATAATAATAATAAAGGTAAATCACTTTCGAAGGGTACAAAAACCAAAGTAAAAGACGATAGGATGTTATTTGAATGCCGAAAGATTCTGACAACAAGAAAAAGATAATTAGTTACAAATGAACAATTACCAATACTGTACTAATATTTCACAATCTAAACCATTAAAATTTATAGGTTTGTATTGTAAAGAGATAATGTATTTATCATTATCTTGCCGGATCCCAACAAAAATTATAAGTCCCACTATTTTACTAAGAAATTTACTATTATTTTTTGTACCCTTCAGAGACGAACTGCCCCTCAATAAATCATGCTTTCATGGGCTATGTTTTTTTAAAAACAATCTAGTCACACTATCACGTGATTCCTGAATTAAGTTCATGTGACCGAGTAGCACATAACTGCATTATAATGAATACTTACAATTAACAGATGTATAGTATTTATGATATTGGAATATATAATCATTAGACTTTTAGTGTCCCGAAATTTTTTCAAATATAATATGGTACAGGAAGCCTTAACTCAACAATTGTTTCAATTTCAACTCAATGTAGAAGCAAAATTTGTACCGGTAATTTCGTAGAACTTATTATAAAAGCTGAAAATATTAAAAATTTAAGCAGCTATTTTCCAAGATCTCCTGTACCATAAGAGAACTTTAATAAAATCATCTTACACATAAATATTGACTATGGATTCTTTTGAATTTGTTTTATTTTATCATAATTTACATATATATATCTATAGACTACATATATATATCTATATACTATCATAATTTATAAATTTCATATTATGTATTCCGGAATGCATATAATATATGTCGCGCGACATTTGATATTTACGAAATTTCAGGATAAAGGTCAAGAATCACATTTTTCACATCTGGACTATCAAGTCTTGATGGGTCGAAAGCGCATAAAACAGAATCGTATTGTGAAGAGTCATCTTCTAAATATTCGAGGTATTCGGAATCTTCACATGCAATCTCTTCACGAGAGATTCCTTTAACGTTTGTCGAGTTTGTCGATCTATAGGGATCGTACATCAAAATTTTGAGGTTGGAAGTATTATACCGATCTGTAGCCTCCTCAGAAACATTTTTAAAGTAGTAATACAGATGTGGTTGAGCATTTTTAATATATGCCCAGAGGACCGTGGCGTGTTTTGAAATTTGGGCCCTTTCGATTTTGAGAGCCATTTGGGTAATACTACTCTGAAAACTTTTTCTAAAAAGGATGAAGCTTTTTGGAGGTGACCTTTTCCCATTTCCTAGCTTCAAAGCATCATTCACGTCTAGAAAACGTAAGATAGATTTTCTATCATTACATTCGATATAATATCTTCCAAGATTACATTTTATGAGACTTATAGTGTTCTCATCAAGGATCGAAGAGGTTAAAAGAATGAATTGAGAATTTGACATTATGTCGGGATAAGAGATTTTTAGGATAAATTATCGGAATAAAGAGAATGGGATTTAAAGAAAAGGAATAGAAAAGATCTCCTTTTATAAAATTCTCGCAAATCCACAAATGATTCATTAAAAATTGGTTCCTATTAAATTTCCATAAAGAAATATCAGCAAATTACGACAATTCAATAAATATACTTACTAAAGTAAGCATCAAAGTATATCATGGTTACACGGGAAACTAGCACAAATTTATGTAAAAAGTATAACGATAATGTTTAGCAATGACACAAACATGTAAGGTACTAAAGATAACGCTTCAAGAGGAATGGGAAATTTAGACGTAATAATCTTTATAAACTTAATAAATAACATGCCAAATTGTAATATTGAAGTTATTTCTAATGGAGATTACGCTTGTAAAGTGATATATAATAACGATAATATGCATTAGAATAATTAATTTCGCAGTATCGCTTTATTCATTAATTTATGTTTTCCTGTGTGACTGAATATACCACCGTATATGTTACTAATGAACGCGTTGAGTTTATTTGATGCGGCGCGGACAGATTGATTTCCTTAAAGGCGACATTGTAATGAAGATTGAAAGCCACAGTATCTATAAACAAAGAAAAACAAGAAAAAGGTTCATTTTGTGGCGACTAATTTCAGGAATGGTAGAACATACACTGCGGAAAATGGTCAGTCATAGAAAGAGCATTTTTGCTACATAGGGGTAAGAAATATTTGGGGTCATGCATGAGCTTAAACTCGGAATTTAACTTTATCTGGGGCTTTTTTGTGCTTTCCAAATCAATATCGATTATCATATTAGCGGCAAGTTAATGTTTTGATCATCTGAAATTAAAATTTGATTGGCTGAATTATTGATTTTCATTTCTATAAAAGGGGTGTCATATAAAATTACCACGTGACGCATAAGCAATGGGGTGGGGAAGTGAGGAATAGGTGCAGAACATTCAGAAAACTTTCTTCTCAATACCGAATGCTATCAATGTGCTGCTAAGGATAACAAAAAATAAAATAAAATAATTTTCACCTGTTTAAAGCATGTGATGCCTATAATTTGGACATGCTAAAGACTAAATTACACTCCACTGTTAGATAATCGCGAGATACAATGACATAATTATTGATCCCTTTCGTTAATTCACTGTTGTACGGCTCTTTATTTAGTTGCCTTTTTTCTATGCCAACCCAATAACTTAATTATTTAAAAATAAACCGCATAATCTTGAAATATGTTAATGCCTTTATCATCTTCGACCTTGAGAATGTTATTTACGCCCTATTCTTGTTTGTAATCGCCACTTGATCTAAACTTTGTTCGCATGCATAAATATATCAGGATTAATGGAAGATACAAACAAATTAAAATTTAGTTTTTAAAATTGGCGAATTCCGGCATTGTGTTTGAGATGATCTGTTGCCCTCTTAACCTTACACTTTCATCGATACCAAATTAGTTGATACAGTTGATACTAGTTAATACTTTATTTGGCAATTTTCACAAAGATGTAGTACAAAAGATACGCCTAAAAAGTGATCCTGGATAATTCCAGGATAATACGGTACAAAAACTCGACTTAATTATACGCAAATTACATAGTATGTTCAATTTTAGAATATATGAATGAGCTCGTTACATAAGATAATCAGGTTCTAAGTTATAGTTATTAGCAAACAAACAAATACATAAAAGAGTATTGATCAAAGACAACAATCATGTGAACCTTTTCATAATCATAATGTGAGATTATTGTTTTAAAATTATCGTACGATGTTTTATTGATAGTATGATGTTTTATTATTTTGTACGTCAATCTTTGTCTGTCCTTTTCAATCAATATAATATTAGGTGCTACGAGATATTTTCTCCAAAAGTTTCCCTTTAGAACTATGAAAAAATCAATGCATTCACTGTATTGATTTAGATTAGGCCAGTTGTAATATTATAGGGCTTCGGAGTTTCCGATCTTTAGACTATACTTTCTACTCTTTTTTTTATTACGACTTTTACAATTCTTGTTCAAGGTTTTTTTTTTTCAAATTTTGAGTTTAATTCAAAATTTAAACACACAAATTATATCAATAATTTATATTGACATCGATTTGCATTTAAAATTCTCTAACATAAATACGCCCTATGGCATCAAAAAAAAAAAAAAAACTCTCTAACATAAATGAAAGGTTCTATTTAGCATCAAATTTAATGATTCTTTGTGAGCTATTTGTTTCTTGGTACCTTTATGCACTTCCATTAGTGTTTTGATGTTAATTTTCAAATTTTGACACACATCGTCAAAGTAAATTAATTTCCTTGGTTCTGAAGCCCTATAATATTGATCAGCATGTTCTTTACTTATTCTTCTATTTCTCTAATTACTGAATTATTATTCTTCGTACACAAACATGTAAATTTCAATCGCATACGTACTGCGTGGTCCGACTACAATACATTCTACAGACGAAGGTCGAGATACTATACTTGGTAGTTTGTCATATGAAGAATTTTTTTATAGGATACTAGTATATGACCGTCGCTTGCGCTAACAGGTTTTTAATATCTAACCGTGTTAAAGTTTTCGGAATTTCATGAAAGCTCGGATATGCACGAATGTGACACTAAAATGCGCGGGTAATGCAAACCTCTAAAAGGAAATGGCCAATCAGAGAACACAAATTTTGGGTATTCCGGATCAACCCAACATAGAATCCGAACACGTGCAAAAGAAGAAAAGAAGAAAAGAAAGCGAAACTAGTGTTTAAATCGACCTTGATGGACTAATAAAAAATTATGAGAATGAAAATCTTACATATAATAAACTCCAATTTATCGCTGTCGCTCACAGCCCTAGCGTCATAATCCTAAACTTCTATTTTTACGCACTTAGTTTATTTACAAAATTCGATTTCCTTTTTTGTTTTGTATTACTCTCGCAAAGAAGTAAAATCTGTCGGGCAAGTATAATATGTCGAACCCTGCATAATCCCTGAAATTTTAATATATTAGATATTCCGCAAATTAGTGGTCGACCAAAAATTTACTGGTCAAATTGGTAAAATGGTCAAACTGTTCAAATTGGTCAAATCTATTATATAATTATAATATATATTATAATATTTAAATATACTATTTGACCAATTTGACCTTTGACTAGGCCAGGCCGGTCAAATTGGTCAAATTGGTCTGGTTCAATGGTCAAACTGGTCTGGTCAAGCCAACGCTGATTCTAAGCTATAATTATTATAGTAGGGGTTTTTTTTTTTTTAGTCGCACCAATTTTGTCACGGCAAATTCCCGATTTTGATGCTAACGGCAAAATTTTGGCCTGCATTACATAATTGTTATCGTAATTTTTCAGCCGGAGTTCACTTTTTAATCTTTTATTCCAGAAATAAAAAATTTGGTAAAATTGCACAACCAATCAAAATCAAGAATATGCTGTGACAATATTGACGCAGTAACAAAGGTTAATATTATGCAGATCAAAACTTGCTCAACATTTATTTATTGTAACATTGCAAAGTTTTTAAAAAACTATCTTTTATAGCAAAAATAAATTAGTTTTAAAAAAGTATAATAAAAATACTAACCCTAATGCAAAAAATTGTACTAAAAATTTTATATGCAAAACTAAGAATATCTAAAAATATAATAAAACATATAATTGAAGTAAAATAATATATATATATATTATAATAATTGTATTTTTTTTAGGAAAAATCTTGACAGTGCACCCGTGCACTTTGTGCCCCTAGCAAAATTAAGCATGCAATAAGAATTAGGGTTAGGTTAGGTTAGAGTTAGGATTTAATGTAAAATTGTAAGAACATTTTTGCTTAATTATACAACAGGGTTACCCTAGTAAAATTTTGAGATATTAGCAATTTTATAATAGGGGCACAAAGTGTATAGAGCACTGACTAGTCCAGCTCTTTTTTATATGTTTTATATTTAATTTTTTACTTTTATTTTTTAATTTTTTTATTTATTATTGATGGGCATCCATTGGCTATTGTACTAAATTTAGTACACACAAAAAATTAATTTTAAATTAATTATTTGATCAAATTTAATTAAATTTTGCCAAAATATATTTGAATATTAGAATTATCTTTTTGTACAATTTCAATGATATTTATTAATAAAAATTTTGTATAGCTTACTCTTAAACTTACTGTATTGTTTTAAAACTTTGCCATACTAAATTTAGTACAGTATTAAAAAAAATCATAATATACAAAAACTTATAATAAAATTAAAAAAAAATTATATTGTTTTAGATCCAATCTTGATTTTGGTCTGATTAAAAAAATAAATAACAATTTTTTTAGATAGTTTTACAGTGAAACAAGTCTAAAAATAGTTAGTCTTTTTAAATATTTTATATAGTAAAACATAGTAAAAATATAATAAAAATTTGAATTATTATGTAAATCATCCAGGTGGATAATTTTAGCTGTCATCCACCTGATATTTACGTGACTTAATATATTAATTTTTTTTTTTTATCGTTATTAATCAATTATCGTTACCATTATTGTTATACTTACTTTAACTTTGTGACAGATTTACTAGTTTTCTGTTGCCTTTACGTTCTTTTTTTTTATAGTACTTACCACTGCAACTACTAATAAGACACTGTCCACTACCGTGCGACGTTGCCCATTATAGAAAGTTGCCATTACAAGAAGTTGTCCATCACAGTCGTTGCCCACTACGAAGTTTCACTTATCACAAACATTTTCATAACAAAACGTGGCTTATTTTTTACTTAAAGTTGCCTACTACAAGGTATTGTAGCTATAAACGTTGTCCACTACAAGTTATTGTTCATCACAAATCATTACTTATACTAATTCGTTGCTTACTATAAGTTATTTTCTGTTCACCACATTTGATTTAGTATTAATTTCAAGTTGTTAATAGTAAGTATGCAAGTTCTATTTAGTAACTACCT